GGAGCTCCACCGAAGGCCCCGGCGGCAGGGCCCACATGGCGGCGCCGCCCCATTTTGGCGCACACCTCCCCTCGCACAGTTCGTGGCCCCATAGGGATTTCAACCGAAGGTCCCAGGGCAGGGTCTACATGGCGGCGCCGCCGCATTTTGGCGCATGCCACGAGCGAGTCGTTTGCAGCGCTTCTTGCTATGAGCTTGAAGCCTCTCATATCGGACGTTCGTGCGGTGCAAGACGACGTCGCTCGCATCGATGCGAACTTCGACAATGTTAGTGCTGAGGTGGGCGCTCGTTTCGAATCTGTGGAGTCGGACATGAAGGCCAAAATTCTACAAATGGAGGAGCTACGTGCTGCTTTGTCGAGGGGCGTTTCACGCGCAAGTTCGGTCCCGGGAGCCAAGAAACCGGACAATGGCAATGAGGTGGTGGCCGAGCTCAGCGCCGAGATTGCTAAGCTCGTGGCTCAGCTTGGCAAGCTCAGCCATAACTCGTTCACAGGTGTCTTCGGTGGCCTTGGCGGTGAGTGGAGCGAGGCTGACGCTTGCAAATGGTTGTGCAACGTGCTCTCTGCTGGTGGGTGGCCTGTCCCAGCTTCAGTTTTTGCGAAAGGGTATTTCAATGGTTTGTTGTTTGCCCAGTTCTCAACTGAGGCAGAGAGAGACAGAGCAATTCATAAGATCAGGGACAGCGGCCATGATTGGAACGGCACTCGCGCGCGGGCTAACATAGATCGTCCTTTGGAGGAGCGTCTTCCCGAGTCTTTCACTTATGCCGTTAAAAAAGTGATGGTGGAATGGTGACGGTCGAAAGCTGCCCTTTGGGTGGATCGCGAGACGGCCGCGCTCTTTCTTGGCGCAGAGAAAGTTCATTCCTCCACGGTTCGGGCCGGCACTTTCGAGATCGATTTCGGAACCGGTTGGCAGGGGGAGCTTCGTTCCGAAGAGCTTGACAACATGTTCTCGAAGGCCAAGGAAAAGCTGAACAACAAGCAGCAGCAGAAGGGCAAAGGGCACGAGAAAAAAGCCACCACGAAGGGCAAGGGCAAGGGGAAAGGAGCATCCAAGGGAAGGTAGGGGCAGCACCGATCGGACGAACAAGGCAGGTTCACATAATTCAATATGTATTGCAAGAGTGTACATATACACAATTCCGACAGGCAAGCACAATTTTTGGGCGAACTAGAAGATATTGAATGGGACTCTATTTGTTTACCGGAGGCGCGCGCCAAGAATGGCGATCTGGATTTGGACGGAGGGGATCGTTTGATCACGGCTTAGGAAGAACAAGTATGCGCCGGCACCGCTGCGGTGATTCGCGCCAGACGTTCCGATGTTGTTCAGGCTTTCCGCTCTCACGACGGCGGGTCTTAGCAGTTGACGTGCGTTTGCGCGCTTTCCTTTCAACGGCAATTGCAGTGCATGCGCCTCGTGCTGGGTCCCCGCGCGACGAGCTTGCGGAGTGCAGCGACATTGCGCGTGGCGGGGGGGGGGGGCGCGTGATCATTGGCGGAGACTTTAACGCCCAGTACGCCGTCGGACGGCGAGGGTCTCTGCTCCCGGAGTGCTTTCAAACCAACAAGATGGTGGCGGGAAATGTGGTGGGCCCAGCCAATTGTGATCTGAATGCGCAGTGGACGTTCGAATCTACGTTGGGACTCAAGCGGCGTATTGATTACATATTTTGCGATGCTCGTTGGCTCCCGTTGTCTTGTTGTCTTATTCAGAGTCTTGATATGGGTTCTGACCATAGGGCTGCGCATGCCATCTTTCACCATTCTCTGCCCAAACAGCGCAAGCATACGAACGGGCAGCTTCGTCGAAGATGGAAACCTATGCTCGGGCCGGATCGTCGCGACCATAAATGCGAGCCTTTGGTGGGGGATCATTTGCAAAATTCAGTCAGGTGCACCAATGAGAGACGTCGAAACTGCTGTGACAGCTGCGGCAGCTGAAGCCGCAACGCATCAGTTTTCTGTGAACGACGGCTTTTGCTAGAACACACAGTTCAACATCTTCGCAATGAGAGGCGGGGGGCGACAAACAAGGGCGAGAGGACGCAGTTGTCCAAAATGGTCCACAAGGAACTCCGGAAACACATGCGAAAGTATTCCGACGACCAGGCGCAACGGCAGTTGGAGAAATTCACGGGCATCAAATGCCCACCTCGTCTTCACATGTTCCTCGCTCAACAGAGCCGCCGGCGCCCGATTGCAGCCGGCGCTTTCCGCGCATCCTCGATGGAAGCATGCAAAACTGACAGCGCGCAGCAAGGGGGCGAGTGGTTTAGCTCTTGCTGCGACAGCGGTTTGCGCGACTTTCCTGATTGCTCCTTGTCGGATATGAGGGGCGCCATGGCGCGGATGGGGCGAAGTAAGCGCAGACAGGGCAGGGGTCATTCTGGAGATGTTCTTGCACGGGGGAGACGTCTTGAACGATGTGTTGCTGGAAGGCCTGAATGCAATTCTCCGCGCGGGATTGATGGAACCAGCATGGCGAGAGACGTTCTTCGTGATGCTGCCCAAGTCTGGAGATCGACGGGGGGCGAAGAATTGGCGCCCAATTGCGGCGCTTCGCATCGGGCGCATAAACTTTGCGAGCATGACATTCGAAAGATTACGGCTTATTCTCGACGCCGAACAGCCAGAGGATCAGGTCGGCCTCAGACCGAAACGATCCGTAGACGATGCATGTGTCGCGCTGGAAGAAAGTTGCGTCGATCTTACAAAGGCCTTCGATCGCGTCGACCACCGCTCTCTGGTTGAGGCGCTGGACCGGCAAGGTGTCCCCGAGCCATATCAGCGGCTTCTCTCCGACGTTCGCGACCGACAGACAGGCGCGGCCCATCGCGCGCGGGGCGAAACAAGGCGGCGCCTTGCCATGGCTTTTGTCCAATGCCGGGCTGGAGGGCGCGATCAGGCGTTTCGAGGGCCGCTTCCCTGACGCTGGAAACGACGTAGGAGGGCCAGAGCGATTGGGCAACATTCGCTATGCGGATGACATTCTCTTATACGGGAACTCGGCGGATGAGTGCGCCGTGATGCTCCGAGCGTGGATCGACGAGCTTGCCGCGCGCGGTCTGTCGTTGAACGCCAGCAAGACAAAGGTCCGCACTAATGACATTGCCTGCGCCTGCGCGGAACAGCCAGTGCCCTTCCGTTTCGACTGCCATGATTTGTTTGTGATGAATAGGCAGGACTGCCACAAGTACCTCGGCCAGAAGTTTAGTGGCGATGTGAAGGAGCGGCCCCTGTGCAACCTGAACCACCGCTTGGAATGCGCATGGAGCAAGCATCAGTCAAACAAACGTGTACTGTTGAACGCAGCAATATCGTTGAAACTACGGTTGAAGTTGTTCAACGCGGTTGTCACGCCGACCGCAGTCTTTGGTCTGGCTACTACTGCTCTCGCCCAGCAGCAGCGCGACATAATAGCATCAACGCGTATGTGGGAGGACGCTGGCAGACGGTGCAGAGAAACGACATGCACGGTCGCAAGACGGTGGCAGACGGCGCAGTGGAGGACAACAACAATACGATGCAGACGGTCGCAGACGGTGCAGAGAAAAAACACGACATGCAGTGGGGGACGGTGGCAGGCGGCACGCGGATAATCGCGGCGCATCCTTGCAGCTGGCCGCACCAAGTGTTGGCGTGGACCCCACAAGGAACTGTTCGGCGACGCGGTCGTCCAATACCCGGTGGACCGACAGCGCGTCTGGCTTTCTGCGCAGCAAGGAAGCGCGGACCTTGGCACAAACATTCCGAGAGTTTTCACGAAAGAAGAGGTCCATGTTGGAGAAAGAGTATGTCGAGTACATGAACAACCGGTTTCCGTCGCCCTCCCCCCTTCACTTCCCCCTTTTTCTTCCGTCCTCCCCCCATCCCTTCAAGCACGCCTGTCAATACTGCACCCAATTTTTCTGATTCGCCGCCAGCGTTGCTCGCCATGGCAGGCCTGTTTTACAGTTTCGCCGTCCTCACGAGTGGGGCGTGACGCTTTGAGGCGTTCGGTCGGACTTTTGCTTGCTCACGCGGCTCGTGGCCCACCCCTCACACAGTTTGTGGCCCCATAAGCCCATAAGGATTTCAGCCGAAGGCCCCAGGGACAGGGTCCACATGGCGGCGCCGCCGCATTTTGGAGCACGCTTCACGCAGTTCGTGGCCCCATAAAGAGTCCAGCCGAAGGCGCCAGTGGCAGGGTCCACATGGCGTCGCCGCTTCATTTTTTGCACACCTTTCACACTGTTCGTGGCTCGATGGGGGGCTCAGCCGAAGGCCCCAATGGCAGGGTCTACATGGCCGCGCCGTCACATTTTTTTGTACACCCGTCGCACGGTTCGCGGACCCATAGGGATTTCAACCGAAGGCCCCAGTTGCAGGGTCCACATGGCAGCGCCGCTGCATTTTGGCGCTGGCCCCACAGGGAGGTCCACCGAAGGCCCCAGTGACGGGGTTCGCATGGCGGTGCCGCCCTTTTTTTGCGCACCCCCCACACTTTTCGTGGCCCCGTAGCGAGCTCCACCGAAAGCGGTGCAAAAACACAGTATTCACAGTTGCATCAGGTTGACTCTTTCGCCAGGGTGCGTTTTGCAATCTGTGTCGCGAGGGTGCCAGCGTGAACGGTGAACGTTGAGTCTGTTCCGTCTCGTTTTCGTTTGCGAGGGGTTCAACTGTACTGCGGTTCCCTTAAGGTGGTCATCTGTATGGAGCGGTCGTGCTGATAATCGTGTCTCGTGTAGCAGAAAAGTTGGATGCCTTTCTGTATGTATTTTATATATATATATATATACATATATATATACTGTTTACTCCACAGCGGGGCCCCAGAAATCCAAACCCTTTTCCAGTGTCGGCTTTTCATCATGCGCAGTTGCTTGGAGGGTCCCCCGGTGCCCCGTGTGTCCGTCTTGATCTTTCAAGGCGTTGGATGTCTGGGTGTGCAACTCCTGGGGCCCAGAAGGATGGCCCTGGCCATGCACGGGATGTTGCTGTCTTTCTGCGCAGGAGATGCTCCGGGCCATGATGCCGCACTGCCTGCGCACGCGAGGCAGCGCGAGGCACGCCTACCAGGACTCGACGGCGCGCAAGGGGGGTGGGGGCGACGGGGCGACCTTCTGCTAACGCGGGTGTCCGCAGTCTGGTCGGGTGTCCGTTCGGTTCGGTCGGTTTTCGTGCCGTTGCGTCGCTGCGCCCTCCTAGCCTACTTGCGGCCCCTCGGCGTCGGTCGGTCTCGATCTCGCTGTCGGTTCGGTCGATGTTCGATTGAGCTGTCGCCATGGACGGCCTTGTCCTAAGAGGGCACATGTCTTCTTTTCGAGCGCCCCCGCCGACCGAGAGGCCCTCCCTGGCTCCCGGGGAGGCCTTTCAAAGGCAGGGGGTCGTCTGAGGAGCCCCCCGCCCTCCATGGAGGCCACCCACGTCGTCCCAACCCTGGGCCCACGTCTGCTCAGGACCTGCCCCTGGTCCCCTTCTCACCACCCACCAAACCACCCAAACGGGTCAAATTCGGGTCAAATTCGGGTCTTTGGGTTGGGTTGGGGTGGTCTGGGAGGTGGTCACCTTCCAGGGTCGATGCTGGGCGGTTGTTCGAGTCGAGCCAGCCATGGCCAGCGAGGCAGGCCACCGGTGGCCAAGAGACGAGGAGGGCCGAAGGGCGGAGGGCCCGAGGGGCCCCCCGCCTCCCTTTCTGTGCGCCGCCGCAGGACAGGCGATCGCAAACATACACCAAGGGGGCGTGGATTAGCGACGGGTTCCGTCTCCATGGGAAATTGCAGATTTCCACCGCCGAGCGAGGCGGCACCGGCCGCATTTTGGGGAGGGCACCTCCCCCGATCCATGTATTTGGCGACCGCGCGCCAAATCCATGGATCGCAATCCATGTTTGGCGCGCCCCCGAGCAGGACAAGGTCGCCGAGGTGCTCGAGGAGATCATGTGCGAGGTCTGCGGTTTTGAAGCCCAGTTGACCACCAGCCTGAGGCATAACCTCCTACCCTGAGGAAAGAGACACGACGGCCATGACCAATGCGTCGCGGGGTCTTGTGGACGCCGATCTTGGTCAATCGTTGCCGTCGTCGGTTCGCGAGGACGACCCATACTGACGGGGACCAAGATGGACGATGACCCAGATCAACAGCGATGTTTCCGTTTTCAGTCTTGGTCATGGTCTTTGTTTTCTGTCCCTCCATTATCCCTGTCATGCATTCCCTTGGTACATCCCTAAGAATGTTGCTGTCTCGGGCCTGTAAATCTGAGGGGTGTGGACGGGCTCGACGCCAGTCAGTTTAGGATTAATGGTTCAACCAGATGTCGAGCCGTTGGGAAAAAGTATCGCAAGAGTGCGCAGAGGAAGTGTTTCACGGATTAACGAAGTCTAGCTCGAGCCCCCTCGTGGGCGTCTGGATGTTGTCGTACGGGCGAACCTGCCTGGCTTTCAAGTGAACCGCTCTCCTAACAAAGCCGTCGTCTCTAGTCGCGGTCTCCCCCCTGGGGGCGTCCAGAGGGAGAGCTGGAAGCCTCAGAGATTCGGCCCCTGCGCGGTGCGGGGGAGGTCAAGCTGCAGGAGGCCTTCGAGGTGCGCCCACGCGGCTATTCCGCGCGCAGCGGAGCTTGGCATCGCTCGGACGCGTGCAGTAACGAAGTCTTTGCCACAGAAAGGCATGCGCGTATACGACCTAGGAAAACAGGTCGTCAGTGCGGACAATGGCGAGTTAGGCGCCCGCGCGAAGTCGCGCGTTGACAGCCTCTTGTTCCACGCGGTGTGCCGCTTGTGACCCGTGCAAGCCACCGCGCAAGGTCATCATGTCTCCGTGGGTGAGACCTTTGCCTCTTCGTCGCCCACGCGGAGCCTGCTGCTCGCGACCTCCTTGGGATGCGGCCCTTGAGAGGCGGCAGCCCCGCACGTGTGCACCGATTCACCCCAGCGCAGGTGCGGGAGGGCCGGGCCGCGCTCGTGCGCGAGCGCGAGGACGCCTTGGCGGAGGTGCAGGAGCAGCAGGCGGAGCTCTGCGGCCGGCTGGAGGCCGCGGAGGCCGAGGCTGCCGCGCGGCTCTCCGAGCTGCGGGTGCGGGAGGCGGCCTCGCCGACGAAATTTGGACCCGGTCGCGAGGAGAGGAGGCCATGCCGATGCCGCCGTCTTCCTCTCGTCGCCGCGGCTGGGTTCGCCTCGAGGTTCTGGTCCGGGGAGTAGCGGGATCCGTACCTGTTTGCACCCCACACACACATCCAACGTCTTGCAGCAATCGGTATTGTTTGTTTAACATATTTGGTCACCTGGGGCCCTTGCCAGGCCCTGGGGGAGTCAAAGAATGCCTCGGAACGAAAAGTTAGCCCTGCCCAGGGAAGGGTTGGGGCTTCTTGACCTCGCACTGCACAAAGCAACACATGGGATATCTGGGTAATCAACCTACCGCCAATCGGTTTGGACCGGTAGGGTTTCACCGGTGAGGGTTCGCCTCGTTCGTGCACGCTCGCACTGGAGCCCCACAGTGCCCTGGGCGCCTCAGGATTCGGACCAGGGTTCGAGGTTCGATATTTTTCATTTTCCAACACTCTTACGTTGGGTTCTCGTTTTGACTTGAGCGGTGAGTTCGCATTTCCTTCCCGCCTCCCTCCTCCTCTTTTCCCTCCTGCCTTTAATTACCTGTCTACTGCCTGCCTGCGAGTCTTCCTTCCAACTCGCCCCTCCTGGGGGGCTGCGAACTGCGACGCTGCGACGCTGTCGTAATTTTCCAGCGCTGATGCTGGATGTGTTGCTTGATGCTTAAGTGGATAGGGAGGGATTGTTTGGGATGTTTGGGCTGGTTGTTAACGTCGATGGCTAGAGGGGGGTGAGTTCGATGGTTAGTCGATGGTTCGTTGGATGGTTTGTTGGATGGTTAGTGGATGGTTAGAGATGGTTAAGGATGGTTAGAAGGATGAATAAGGATGAATAAGGATGGTCAGAAAGATGGTTATGTGGATGGCTATAGATGGCCATGAATTGTTATACTGATGGTTAACATGGATGGCCAGAGACGGTGATTTGGATGTTGAAGTGATGCTTTAGTTGGATGGTTCGTGGATGGTTAAGGGATGGTTCATGATGGTTCAGGATGGTTGGATGGTTGTGTGGATGGTTAAGAATGGTTAGGGATGTTTAGATTGATGGTTAACGCGTATGGTTAGGGATGGTTTGATGGATGGTGAGCGTGAATGGTTAGGGGTGGTCAGGGATGGTTAGATGAATGTTCTACGTAGAGTGTTAAGGATTGCTAGCTGGGTGGTTGGTGGATGGTTCGACGGATGGCTCGAGAACTTGCCAACTCGTTCTGCACTCACCACGCCCTCCCCCAACTTGCCCCCCTCCCCTCTCGCGCTCACCCGCCCCCGTTCCTTCCAATAGGCCACTCTTCTCCTCGAACAACAGGGCCGACGCGACGCGAGCAGGGGGGCGTGCGCCTCCGTCACCGCGCCAATCCTCCGACGAGTCGTGGATCGGGATGTCCAACAGGGCCCTCCTCCTCCTCGCGTCTGCCAGCGCCTTCGTGGCGCGCTCTGCGATGCTGCGCTGGCCGATGTCAGCCACCTCGGGCCCGCCACCTGGGGGTGATCGGCAGCAGCGGGCGTCGTCGCCGCCATCGTACTTGCCATCGCGCAGCGCCGAGCTTCTTCCTGGGCGGGGCGAAGGTTGCCGATCCTCCCAACAACGACCAGATCGCGCTCCGAGTACCGCTTCCGCCCGCGCGTCCTCGCCAAACACTTGCGCTCGCCCGCTATCAGACCCCGCTCCTCGGACGTCGGAGTGCCGAGGTTCGTCGACAGAAGATCCGCTCGGCGACCAGGCCATCGGTGGGGGGGGCGCAATCGCGGCCCTCGGCCCTCGGGGCAGCAACGGTTGACCGCATTCGAACCCACGAGGTTGCAAGGGCCGAGCGACGCGAGGGCCGCGGAACGTCCGACCCCTGCCTCTCCTCCAAACGCACCCGCTTCACCCCTCCCCGCCCCCCCTTTGTTCTAATTTACCCCGCTCCTATTGCCTGCCCATCTTCGCCCCGCCCCTCATGCCCATGCTTGCATCCCGCTTCCCCCTCCCCCGCGCAGCGCAGCTGGGCAGAGCCTCCGCTGACTGCGCGCCCTGCGACAACGCAACGCAGCCACCCCGCGCGCGACGCTGTAACGCAAAAACGCAATCCACGGGGCGATTGTTATTATAATGCCAATTGCGCCGCGGATTGCCTTTTAGGTCTTTCTTGCATTCAAACATAATGATATAATAGACGTGTGGGCCGCGGCCCCTGGCGGGCCCAACCTTTGTCGCCCCTCCCGTGGTTCCGCGTGGAACGCGCGATCTATGTTTGCATGCGTTACTTTGTAGGACTGTTCCCCTGCGCGTGTTTTTTTGTTTTCCCCATGATGTTTATAATTAGCCGCCGCATGCGCAGCGCCCACGCTGGCCCAAACGGCTCAATCATGCCGTTCGCGCGATCTGCGCGCAAAGGAACTGCCTGCACGCAGCCGGTGCCAACGAACTTAACATATTATGTAGGATTATACAGTTTGCCAGACGACGCAGGTTGCGCCAAAAGCCGAATCGCTACCAACATCTGATTTGCACAATTGCGCCTCCCCACAGCTTGCGCGCACAACTCATCGATTCCGAATGCCCTTGTCCCGCAGTTGGCCTCCAGCAAAAGAAGGTCACCAACGCTGATTACCTGTTGTCCCCACCTTGCTTTCAGCGATGTGAAATCAGACGTTTGCAATACGTGGTCAGGGAGATATTATGTTCAGATGCGCGCCTCGGCGCGCTCCCCTTCCCATGCAACAAATCCTCCTTAACGAAGCTTCACGCGTCGACCCTGCGTTTCAAATCGAGAACCAATCGGCAAAGGGTAGACGTTGATGACTCGGAACGCTCGACCCCAGCGCGCGCGCAGTGGTTCGCCGCCGCGATGAGCAGCCGATCCATGCGTTCGTTCGACCAGCATGCCAAGCCGAAACCTGGGAGCTGTTGTTGCAAGTGGGCTTTGATCTTCAATATATCGCCAGGGCAGCGGTCCAGCAACTCCTTGCGATAGCGCGCAACCATTGCCCCGAACACATCTGTTTGCTGCGCGGCTGCGTCTCCAGCGCGGGGAAGTGAAATGATGCCGCAAGCCAGGCAAACGGCGCGAGCCCTCGGCTCAAGGGCGCGCTCGGGGAAGAGAGCACGCAGGCAAAGCCAATCGAGAAAGCGAAGGGCTGTCATCATATCGCCGGCAAACCCTTTCATGTGACTGTGCCATGTGTGAACCACGTGGGTCCTGAGAAATGCCGGGCCAAGGGGTGTCCGTGGAGTTGTATTGGCCTTGACAAATTTTGCCATCATCTCGTCCGATGTGGCCAGTGTGATCTGCGTCTGCTGCAGCATATCCAAACATTTCGTTCAAGTGGTATTGCATTACACCCGATTTCGTTACACATATGTATATATATATATACACGCATCCAGCCCCAGTATACATTCGACGGGGGCTCGTAGAATCGTCGAAGGGGCACGTCGAACGGGATCGCGTGCTCATCGTGTACAATGCCAAAGACCCGCTGGGACAAACCGAACGCAGTGGGCCCTCCCACGGCCGACCTCGCCGTCAAGCCATCACGCAACTCCCAGAAAGAATCGTCGTCACGGCGGTCGGACTTCGTGGGGCCAGGCGCCCTGTAATGGATGCAGTACTGGCTCACAGGAATATTGTCGGCGTCGGTGTTCAGCACGTTTTTTTGCACGTCGGACAACGCTTTGTCCCTGCTGAGCCCTTGACAGATGACATTTGCCCATGGCCTTTTTCGCCCTGCAGTGAAGCAGCCAGGTGGCCCCTGACAACTGCGAACCCAGCCCCGTCCATCCTCCGTCGAACGCCCGCCTCAAAATTGTGGCGGCCCATGAGTAGTAACGCAGGATGTGCCACGTGATCCCCGATGCCTTGCCTGCCATGGTCTTCGCTGAATCGCGCGAGAGAATGCCCGCTGGCCAACGGCCGTGGTCGCTGCTCTTAAAATGATCGGGGAGGTTAGAAAACGACCAGTAGAAAGACAAGAACGTGCGTTTCATGTCTGACCTCAGCTGGTTGCCAGACGTCGTCTCGTCGGACCACGCGACTATATTTGCCCCGCGACCCTCTATGTGCGCACGTATGAAAGTTCTAGACTGAAAGCGCGTCTCGCACAAGAAATCCAACAACGCGAATGGGCAGCATATTGGCCAGGCCAGGTACCCCCCAGATTTCGATGGCAATTGAAGTATTTCGCAACATGCCCAAATTGAGTGTCGATGCCAGACACGTATCGTCTTATCTCTCTGGATGCGTTGTTCAATGGTATAGCACCATCATCACGATCCCCGCTGCGCAGCTCCCGAACAATCTTTCCGATCGCACTCAATGGGATTGCCATGCCCTGAGTGTGTGTGCAAACGCAACCAACCGAGTTTTTTTTCTGGCCGCTGCAGTACGTAATTTGTGCTTGAGCCAATGTGGACTTGAACCACAATTACTACTGACATCTGAGGTTGGGTGGTGAGTCCGACGTGAAACGGAGACCCCCCCTACCGGGAAATCGATTTCGGTTTCGGTTTCGTGTCGTGCGTGCCGTGCGTGCGTGCGGGCGAGGCGAAGCTGCGTGGGCGGGCGAGATGAAATCCTCCTGTGGCTGGGCCGCGGCCGGACCAAATGTAACTCCTTTGGCGGCCGGTGCCCCGCGTTGTCCCGCCGGTGTCCCGCGGGTGTCCCGAAATCCTCTTGTGGTGTCCCGTGGTGTCCCGTGGGGTCCCGTTGAGTGAGATCGATCGTGGGATCGATCGTGAGATCGATAGTGAGATCGATGTGGTGTCCTTAGGTGCCCCGTGGTGTCCCGTGATGTCCTATAGATTCCGTTGAGTGAGATTGATAGTGAGATCGATGGTGAAACCGATAGTGAGATCGAGAGGTGTCCCGCGGTGTCCCGTGGTGGCACGTGGTGGCACGTGGTGTCCCGCGGTGTCCCGTTGAGTGAGATCGATACTGAGATCGATAGTGAGATTCGCTTGCCGAACTTGAAGTTGTCAACTCCACTGCTCGCGCAATCATCCCACACCCACCCGCAACTTGGTTTGCAAAATCTTTGAAGACCTTGACGGTGGGTACCAAATAGCACTTGGCAACCACAGCGACGCCGACGATGACAGCGACAACGACGACGACGTCGCCGCCGACAACGACTACGACGACACCGACGACGTCTCCAACGACTTCGACGACGCCGACAACGACGACGACGACGACACGACGACGACGACGCCGACGCCGACGATGACAACGACGACGACGATGACGACGCCGACGACGACGACAACGACGACACCGACGACGACGACGACGTCAACGACGCCGACGACGACGACGCCGACGCAGACGACGACGGCGGCGACGACGACGCCGACGTCGACGACGACGACGCCGACGCCGACGACGACGACGAATACGACGACGACGACGACGTCGCCAACGCAGACAACGACGAGGGAGGAGGGAGGACGACGACGGCGACAACGACGACAACGACGACAACGACGAGGGAGGAGGGAGACGGCGACTACGCGAACGACGAAGAAGGAGGAAGGACGGCGACGCCGACGACGACTACGACGAGGGAGGAGGGAAGACGACGACGACGACAACGACGATGACGACGACGGCGACGAAATAGGGGGGACGACGACGAGACGCCGACGACGGACGACGACGACGACGGGGGAGGAGGAGCAAGGACGACCACGGCGACAACGACGACGGAAACGACCACGACGCCAAGGAGGACGACGACGACGAACACGAGGAAAGACAGAGGACGACGTAGGCGACGACGACGACGACGACGCGGGAGGAGGGAGGACGGCGACGACGACGACGACGCAAGAGCGCGCGCGCTCGCTTTTGGTGAAAATCCGTGTTGCGAAACCTTGTCTTTTTGTATGTTTTTTTTGACACTTTGACATCCTTCCGAAACCAATGGGTTTTGAAGGATTTCGGCATACGCGCGCGACGACGCGCGCGTCTGCACTTCGTCCGATTTTTTGCAGAGGATTCTCGCGACGGCACGCGCGCAAGGGCGTTCGACAGATTTCGACATGCGCGCGCGCGAAGCCCGTTCGGCATTTTGCGAAACTCTCTAAAAACCTATGCTTTTCTCCAGATTTCGCAAGAGCTCGCGCGTAAGTTGTTTAGCAAATCAGTGTTGCGAAGCCGTGTGTTTTTGTATGTTCTGTGGAAACTTGATTGCGAAATCCTTCTGGCACCAAAGGTTTTTGAAAGATTTCGGCATGCGCGCGCGACGACGCGCGCGTGTGCTTTTCGTCCCATGTGTTTCAAGGGATGCGTGTTTTTTTTCACAATGGAACTTCAGGGGGGAATCCGGTTGGCCTGGGATATTGCGATTTCGTATTTAGGATGGACATGTGTTTATAATCATGTCTGATTTACCTAGGACGCGGGGGTAGTGATAACGCCGGGGGGGGTGAGTCTTTTCTGTTTTTAACAAGGAGAATCGACAAGTGTCCCGTGTTGTTCCGTGGTGTGAGATGAATTGCGACATCGATTGAATCAGATGTTGGTTACCCCGCCCCTTCTCCCTCCCACAACTTCCTTATCACCCGAAGGGTGATCGTATAGGTAACATATAAACTTAGCGAAACTTAGCGAGAACTCAGCTAAGTTGTTGCTAACTAACTAGTTATGCTAAGTGTTAGTAAGTTGATTTGCGAGCCGATAGGTAACATATAAACTTAGCGAAGCTTAGCGAGAACTTAGCTAAGTTGTTGCTAACTAACTAGTTATGCTAAGTGATAATAAGTTGTTATGCTAAGTGTTAGTAAGTTTATGAAGGGTGCCATGGGGGGGGCCGGGGGGGGGCCGGGGCGGGGTGCCATGCCGGGGGGGCAGGGGGGGTGCTGCCGGCGGGGATTGCCGGGGGAGGAGCGCCGGGGGGGGAATGCCAGGGGGGGGTGCCGGGGCGGGGTGCTGGTGGGGGTGTGCCGGGGGGGGGCCGGGGGAGGGGGGCTGGGGGGCGTGCCGGGGAGGGAGGGGGGGACGGGATGGTGCCAGGGAGGGGGGGGGGGGGGGGGGGCCAGGGGAAGGTCCTCCTGCTCTGCCTCCCTGCCTCCTCCTCCTCCTCCTCCTCTTCCTCCTCTCTCTTTCTCTTCCTCCTCCTTCTCCTTATCTTCCATCTCCTCCTCCTCCTTCTCCTCCTCTTCCTGCTCCTCCTGCCCTCCTCTTCCTGCTTCTCCTCCCTGCCGTCCTCCTCCTCACTGCCCTCCTCATCCTTCACCTCGATCCTCCTTCCCTCCTCCTCCTCCTCCGCCTCCTCCTCCTCTTCCTTCTCCTCCTCATGCTCCTCCTGCCCTCCTCTTCCTGCTTCTCCTCCCTGCCGTCCTCCTCCTCACTGCCCTCCTCATCCTTCACCTCGATCCTCCTTCCCCTCCTCCTCCTCCTCCTCCGCCTCCTCCTTCGCGTCGCCAGATTCACGGCCTCAGAGACGTCCGTTTCGGTGCGGTTCCGGTAGGTTCGGCCCGGTTCGTTTCGAATTCGAATCCGGTTCGGTTCGGTTCGGTTCGGAATTGAGTCTCGTTCGGTTCTGGTTCGTCTCGGTTCTTGTTGACAAAACGTGCGGTTCGTACCAGTTTGGTTCGGCCCGGTTCGGTTCGGCCGGTTCGGTTCCAATCCTGAGCCTTCTTGCTAATGCTAAATGATCCAGGATTTGCATCCAGGTCCATGCGGGACCCTGGGGCCGTCGAGAAGACGAGGAACGAAACCGGTCTTGAAAGAAACCCGGGGTCCCGGACCCTTTTCCCCTCGTGATTCCCTTTTCCTTAACGCGTAGGCACCATTCGAACAGAACACATCCATGACCCAAGGGCCACCCGAGACGCATTGTAAGACCATGTTGTGGGTCCGCGTGTGGCCCCATTCCGCAGTGGCCATCAAGAGCTCACGAAAATGGCGGCGATGTTTGCGCACACGTCAGCGCCAATGGAGGCGTGGTCTGGCGTGGATCTGAATGGCGCCCCGGTTTGCTGGACCTTCCAATGGTTGATGGAACTGGGGACGGTTGCGCACTTGGCAAAGTCCTGAAAGGCGAGTTCTCGTGTGGATCCGAATTGGGCCACGCCCTGCGGGATCTCTTGAGAATTGACGGAAGTTGATACGGTTGCATATTCGGCAGCGCCCAGGAAGGCGAGGTCCCGTGTGGATCCGGATGGGGCCCCTTCCCGCTGGACCTTCTCAGAGCTCACGTAAGTAGTCTCGGTAGGCAGCGCCCAGGGAGGGGAAGCGGACGGGAAAGGGGGAGGGCGGGAGGGGAAACGAGGCGAGGAGGAAGAGGACGAGGAGGAGGAGGAGGAGGAAAAGCAGGAAGAGGAACAACACGTGCTCTGTTCAGGACGAGAGCACAGCCGCAAGGAGGACTGGGAGCAACGGAAGCAGCAAACAACAGAACTTGAAAAGGCGGCGCTCGCCGGGGCCGCCGAGGAGTCCACGGCCGCGAGCGTCTCGCTCGCGCAGAGGCAGGGGCGCGAACGCAGCTCCGAGGCCACGAGCCGTGCGGCGCTTGAGGCGCAGAGCGCCTGGCAGGATTGAGAGGAGGGCGAGTTGAGGAACTGGTAGTTGACCTCTGGGGGCCCACTCGTCACGGCTGGGCGCAGCTCGAAAAACCGGTGCATTTGGACCCCGGGATAGGTCCAGGGACCGATGTTGAGCTGCCGTTGTCTCAGCTCGCCCTGCACCGAAGGACGTGTGCGATGCCAAGTGGGCGCCCCTCCGGGACGGGGCAGTCACGGGCCGCGAGTGGCGTGAGCGCAACAGGATGATTCCTCTCGCTTCGCGGGTTGCACGTGTGGAGCACGTTGAGATTGAGCGTTGGGTGGTTTGCCCTGCTCGTCTGCCGCGCTGTTCTGCCATGACGTTCTGCCCGCCCTGGGGCGCTGGCAGCGCCACGTGGGGCGGATCCCCCCCCGTTGTTGCGCTGGGACGAGCGTGGGAATGTCATGGCAGTGACGATTCTCCGCGTTTCAGGCCAAGGCAACGCCAATTCCCAACGCCGATGAGCATAGTAACGCCGCGTCATTCTTATACAATTCCGCGGGCCTTTTGGTGGTTTCTTGGGGCAGCTTGGGGGCTTTTGGGGGGTCTTTTGGAGGCTTCTTGGGAGGCCCTGGGGGCCTCTTGGGGGCCTCTCGGAGGCCTCTTGAGGCCTTCTGGGGGCCTCTGGGGGTGGCTGCCTTGGGGGTCTCTCGGGGGCCGCCTTGTGGCTCTCCTGGGGTTCTCTTGGGCAGTTTTCGTGGGCCTCTTGAGCCGTCTTGGAGGGCCTCTTGTGGCCAGCTTGGGGCCCCCTCGTGCCGTCTCAGAGCCCTCTTTGGGGCCTCCCGCCCGTCTCGAGGCCATCTTGAGCCGTCTGGGTGAGCTCCATGGACCCCCAAGAGGCCCAATTGCCCCGGACCGTCGATCTGCCATAGGTGTTCGTAGGCTTTGGGTGCCCCAGAATCAGAAGGCATTCGCCACGTTTGGTCGACGGAAGTGGGGTGACTCCGGGGGGTTACGTTGGATGCATCGGATGCGTTGCATCACAGTGGGGGCGCGCATCAAGAAACCATATGCTTTTCGTCAAGATATTCTGAGTTTCTTCGCTCCTCGCGCTGCGCGGTGTTGAAGGAGCTGCTGCGTTCAGGGTGCTCCGGGTTTCCCCTCAGGTGCACCTCGCGCACGGGTGCTCAGGGTTGGATTTCTTGCGAGGGTTTCTTGCGGCCGCGCCCGCACTGTCTCGCCTCAGACCTGCTTCTGGCAGCACGTCACTTCCGGACGCGGGTCCGTCGGGCTGTGACGCCACATCCGCCGACTGGCTCGGTCTTGCTGAGGGTGCGGTCGGGCCCTGCGGGCTTGAGGCGATGAGAGGGGGCGGGGGAGGAGAGTGGGAGGACGAGGATAAATTCTAGACGCCTCGCGTATCCCCACCAGGACTGGCAATTATCTTGCGTGCTGTCCCATGCTCGATCCGACCCGCTCTCTGGAATCGTCCTTGGAGCCGCAGATCAAAAAGTATCCCCACCAGGCGCTGAGTGGTCCAGCCTTCAGCGCCGTCAGCCAGTTTTCCACCCCCAGCAGCCGGTTCCCCGGGCTGGTGCCAGTTGTTTGTCTGGGGTGTTGCTCGGAGCTTGGCGCCGCGAGGACGACGTTCCGTTGCACCCGCACCTCTGTGCGCTCGTTCTTTTGGACCGGGCGGCGCCTAGGTGCGTCACGGCGAAAGCGGAGCATTTTGCTCAGTGCACGTGCACCGCGCCTTGTGTGGAAGTAGCCTGTTCCGCCGTCCCGGGCACGTTTGTTGCCGCCAGACCGTAGTCGCGCGGTCGCGGACCCCAAAACATATATCCCCACCAGTGCATCCCCACTGGCGCCCTGTCACCGCACGTCTGGCTTGTACCCTGCCACAGCTGTGGCCCTGGCCTTTTGCGCCCTGTGGCGACAAGGTCAGTTCGTACCTGGTCACTCACGCCCATGGTACCTGAGCTCGACTGCGTTGCTTACTGCTCTTCGTTCCTGGTAGCGCGCCGCCCACTGGGTTGGCCCGGCGGTGGAGGCGCCCCGCTAGGTTGATGCGTGGTTTGCAGATACATAGCCGATCATGCTTTCCTGGCGTGCAGGAATTAATTCCACTCTGGCGTTTTGGAGCCATTCGCTCGCGTGTTGCATCCGCCACCCTGGCCTTCTGCAGTCAGCTCAGTCAGCTTCCCTTCAGCTGCGGCCCACCGGCGGCTGCCTCTGAGTGCGCGCTCGGTCGCTTCGCTTTAGGCTTGCGCGTGGCCAATTTGGCAGGCCCGTGGCCCGGACCTGTCCTTCGGCGATTGCGTTTCCGCGTCCGCCCGCGACCAAAAAGAAATATCCCCACCAGTTGTTTGGCTTGTACCCTGCCATAGCTGTGGCTCTGGCCTTTGGCGCCCTGTGGCGACATGGTCAGTTCGTACCTGGTCACTCACGCCCATGGTACCTGAGCTCGAATGCGTTTCGTTCCTGGTAGCGCGCCGCCCACTGGGTTGGCCCGGCGGTGGAGGCGCGCCTCTCGGTTGATGCGTGGTTTGCAGATGCAGAGCCGATCATGCTTCCCTGGCGTGCAGGAATTAATTCCTCTCTGGCGTTTTGGAGCCATTCTCTCGCGTGTTGCATCCGCCACCCCGGCCTTCTGCAGTCAGCTCAGCCAGCTTCCCTTCAGCTGCGGCCCACCGGCGGCTGCCTCTGAGTGCGGGCTCGGTCGCTTCGCTTTAGGCTTGCGCGTGGCCAAGTTGGCAGGCCCGTGGCCCGGACCTCTCCTTCGACGACTGCGTTTCCGCGTACGCCCGCGACCAAAAAAATATATCCCCATCAGCTCTTCTGGCCGCGGACACCCTGGCACTTTCGCAGGTTCTTGGAGTGTGCCTTTGCCCTAATTGCACGGTTCTGTCCATGGTCGTGTTTCTGACCGACTTTGACGTTTCCGACGTCCTGCATGTTTGCACAGTGGCAGAACTTCTCAGTTTCACCCAGTCTCTCCACTCGCCGGTCCTCCGCTGACGTGCTGCGTGCCTCAAACGTCGCCTTTGCTTCAATTTTCTCGCGCTTCCTCTGCCTAGTTAGTCTCTGCGTAGCCCGCTTTGACCTGACTCGCCGCCGGCGCGCTCGCCCGCGGCCGCTGAAAATAATAACAGATCCCCACAAACCCATCCAGAAACGATTTCCGGGCGAGTTGAAGTGATCAGGGAAGTGCGGCAGCAAAGAGGAAGACGGCCGAACCGTGCAAAGGACTGAGGGAGAGAAGGATGAGGTGGATGGGTGGATGGATGAGGGAATGGGAAGAAGGATGATAAATAGGATGAGGAGGCGGAGAAGGAGGAGGATGAGGAGGAGGAGGAGGAGGAAGAAGAAAAGGAGTATGAGCAGGAAGGAGGAACAGGAGGAGGAGGAGGGCAAACACAAGGACCAGAGGTCTCGTGGATGCCTCTCAGAGCTTCTCGGGTATCTCTTGGGCGATTCTTGGTGGCCTGTTGGAACGTTTTGGGGGTCTCTTGGCGATCCTGGGAGGCTCTTCGGGGTCTTGGGTGCCTCGGGGGGGGGGCCTCTTGGGGCCGCTGATGGTCTTCTTGGGGGCCTCCTGGGGGCCTCTTGGGGGCCTTTTTGGGTCCAGTTTGGGACCTCTTGGGGCCTCTTCGGCGTTTTTTGGAGCCATTTTGGAGGAGATATATCAAAGAAGAGCGGAGTTTCAATTAGGGTTGCCCTCCCAGGAGGCCAATTTGGGGCCAAAACTTTAGTAACATCAGTGATTGTGGCTCCCTCGCCGAGGCCGTTTTGGACGCTCTGACACCTCCCCGCCCCTCCCGTCCAGGTCCACGGGGAGGGGGTATGGGGGAGGGGTCAAGTTACCCCCTCCCCACCCGCAAGCCGTCTCGCTCACCCCCACCCGCCCTCCCAACACATACGTGGCACCCGAGTCTGGCCCGAGCCTCAGCATATTCAGCAGTCGTCTTGGGATGGGCAGCTACTGGGGGCCAATCCGCCGCCGCCGCCGCCGCCAAACCGCCGCTTCCGCCAAACCGCCGCCGCAGCCGCTGCCGCCACCGCTACCGCCGCCGCCGCCGCTACCGCCGCCGCCGCCGCCGCCTCCGCTGCCGCCGCCGCCGCCGCCGCCGCCGCCGCCGCCGCCGCCCCCCGCTGCCAAACCGCCGCCGCAGCCGCCGCCGCCGCCGCCGACGCCCCCGCCCCCGCCGCCGCCGCCGCCGCCGCCGCAGCCGCCGCAACCGCCGCCACCGCCGCCGCAGCCGCCGCAACCGCCGCCGCCGCCAAGTGTACCCTGTATTGTTTTTTGACAGGGATGGTGGGGGGGGGGGCGTTGCGCATGTTCCGAAGTTGGCGGCAGACTGTGTTTTGTATGGTTTTTTTTACAAGGGATGGTGGGGGGGGGGGTCGGCATGGACCCTGGTTGGCCCCCAGTCGCCTGGGGGAGGGGGGGTTATTAATAGGGAACAGTGGGGAACAGTGATAAACCCCTCCCCGAAAGGGGAAGAGGGAGGAGTGGAAGAGGACACGCTCTAAACCACCGACGCCCAGAGGGCGGGTGGGATTACGAGCATGAGGAGAACGACGGGGAGGGGTAGGAGAAGAACACCAGGGGGAACGCGATATTGAGTGTATATATATATGTGTATATGTATATATGTCTATATATACATATACCTATATAGATATGTAAATATGTGTGTATACACACATGCATACATGCTTACATACATACCTACACTTACCTACCTACAGACATACCTACCGACCTACATACCTATCTGCATACCTACACATATACAGACACATACCTACATGTCTCACATACATACACACATAACTCCATACATATACGCCCATACATACGTACGTCCCTACATTGATACATTATACATGCCTGTACAACCATACATACGACCATTCAAACACACATTCACACACATATGCATGCATGCATACAGGCATTTCTACTTTCATATCTGCGTATTTACATACACCTATGCATACATCCACACATGCATACATACATCCATGCACATACACATACATACGGGTATACACACATACCTGTTAGCATCCATACACACGTACTTGCATGCATACACATACACACACGCACAAACCTACATGCATGCATGCGTGCATGCATACATACGCATACACATACACACGTACACACATACATACATGCATGCATGCATGCACGCATACACACATGCATACATACATAATCATACACGCAAACACACACGCACACATACATACATACATACAAACATACATACATACACATCCAGATATGCATGCATTCACGCATCCATTCATACATACACACACCTACATGTGGGCATGTATGCATGTGAGCATGTATACATTTATACATATACATATACATATTCATATACATAGACATAAACATATACATATACATAACCATCCATACATACATACATACATGCATGCATGCATGCATGCACATGTATACACTTACCAGCATAACTACATGTATGCATGCATGCATTCATGCACACACACACACACCTTGTTTTCATAACTACACATGTCGATGCACATACACACATGTATATATATACATATATATATGTGTGTGTACGTATATATATATATATATATATATATATATGTACGTACATGTTTGTATACATGCATACGTACGCACACATATATATATTTATTTATATATATATATATATATATATATATTTATACATATATAAATAATTATACAAGAAATGTGCATGTGTGTGAAAGCATGGAGGGAGGGTAGGACCGGGACCCCAGGGTCTGCATGGGGGATCTGGCGGCCCGTGGGGGCCCAGAGAGGTCCCGGACAGCTGCACACGCTCCCCAGACTGGTCCAAGACTGTCCAACTGTGCGTTTGGGGCGCTCTGGCCCCACCCGAGGCGCCTCCAGACGGTCTGAAGACGTGCCCAGAGGCTCCTAAGCCGTCCCCAAGACGGCCCAAGTGGCCTCCAAGAGGCCCCTTAAGAAGCCTAAATCCCAAGGTTCTTGAAGGATCTCGGCGTTCTCGCCTTTTCGGCTTCTCGACGCTCCAGGACGATCCACGAGGCCGCCAACGTCGCCCGAAGACGGCCCCAGCAGGCCCCCACGAGGGCCCCAGAGAGGCCCAAGAGGCTCCCAAAACGGCTCAAGAGGCACCCAAGACGGCCCAAGAGGCTTCCAAGACGGCGGCTCCAAGAGGGGCCCCCCTTGGCGGACTAGAATGGACATTTCAAGCCCTCGGCCCCGTGAGGCCCCCAGAAGGCTCCCAGAGGCCCCGAAGAGGCCGCCAAGACCCCCAAGAGGCCCCCAAGAGGCCACCAGGAAGCCCTAAGAGGCCCCCACAAGGCTCCACGGATACATTCCCGCCAGGCATCGCTCCCCCCAGGCGGTGGGTTGTCAGGGGCCAGGGGCGGGTACCTCCCAACGCCAGTGCCCAAAGGGTCCGCGGATCGACGCCCTGGTGCAGGCGCTCGCCGGCGCGGGCGCCGATGCCTCGCTCTTGGCCGCGCTGCCCCTGGCGCTGAAGAGCAAGTCGGCGGACCGCGCCGCCTTCGCCTCGAAGACGGTGGAGCACACGGAGGTGGTCGAGGAAGAAATAACGGCATTCACGTAACTGGCGCGCTCTGCGTTCCACGGAGGGGGTCCAGCACCGATCGAAGAATTCCGGGCGGGCCTCCGAACATGTATGTTTACGCAGTTCTCGTATACAGGTGGTCTTCGAGGAGCACGCTTGCAGCCTGTCTTCGAGGGTAGCCAGCGCGCAGGTGGATGCGGCCCAAGCGGCCGCCGAGGTCGCATCCGCGCAGGCCGACGTGAGGCAGTTGGAGGGCCGCCTGGAGGAGGAGAGCGGGCTGCTCCGCGTCGCGCAGGAGTCGCTGGCGGACGCGCGCCGACAGGCGGCCGAGCGCGCCACCG